TGGCATATGATGTTTAACTATCCAAAATGAAAGATGATGCATGTAGGTTTCCACAATTCCAATTACTGTTTCAATTTAAATGGGAATACATTAAATACTGTGATTGAAGAAAAATATCTTGGTAGTTGTGATAGAAAAATCACTTAAGTCATCTGAACAGTGTATTGTAGCTAGCAGTAGGACTAATAGGATTTTGGGTAGCATCTATAGAAATATTAAATACAAGACAATGGATATTATTGTTTCACTGTATAGATAACTTATAAGGCATTATTTAGAGTTCTGTGTACAGTTTTGGGCTCCCTTCCTCAAGAAGGACATTGAATTGTTAGAGAAGGTTCAGAGAAGAGCCACTAGGATGATACCTGGGATGGTGGGATTGCCCTATGAGGAGAGACTAAAATCTCTAAGTTCTGGAGAGGAGAAGGATCAGAGGGGATTTGATTGAGGTGTTTAAGATTATTAAGAGTATTGATAATATAGATCCATCAAACTTTTTTGTGTTTAGCAATAGAACAAGGGGTCATAAGTTCAAATTTTGACAGTGTAGGAGTTGTCTGCAATTTAGACAGTATTACTTTTCAAACAGGGTGTTTGGCTTTTGGAATGAGATGCCTTTAAGGGTGGTGGAGGCAAAACATTTATCTGAGTTCAAGAAAAGATTAGATAAATACATGAGTAGTAAGTGGTGGTTATAGTTGAGAGCTGGAAGGGACATCCTTGATGGGCTAATAAGCTCCTTTTTGACCCTTTAAATTATATGAATGTATTTATGAATTTTATGAAACATACCATTAGAAGAGACCATACAACTAAGTGCCAACATGATTTATGATGATGTTTACAACAATATGACTATTCCCTAATCAGTCTTTCTTGACTTAATGAACTTCAGAGTCAAAGAATCTCACTTTCTTCTAAATGGAGAGCTTTATAAGCAGATCAGTGGTGTAGCCAAGGCTTCAAGGTTGGTACCACCTTTAGCCAATCTTTTTTTGTGTTTTTGTGAAAAGCAGTGGTTAGAAAATTGTCTACAACAATTCAGACCTCTTAACTATCATGGAATTTAGCTGTTAATAAGGTTATAATTATGAAAGATTTCAAGCATATAAACTGGGAAATTTTAGTCTATTTATGAGGGTGATGAGTTTTTAGAAACTGTTCAGGATTGTCTTCATTGGTTAGGGAATGTATTAGGAACAATGCTAAATGAAATAGGGTGAAGATTGGGGAACATCTGATGCAAATGATCTTTTCTCAATTATATTTGAGCCAACCTAGTTATTTTACTTGCAACCACCTATTAATCTTTATAAGGAACAAGCCTATCTTGAATATTTAAGAATTTTCCCCATTTGATCAACATGCCAAATTAAATCAGTTTCCCAATTCACAGCAGATAATTCTTGTCTCATCCCTTCAGAAAATATTTTCTTTACATTTGTAAACAAAATTTCATTATTTCTTATCTCCATGTGCAGCAAAATACTACAAAGGATGTAAAGGATGAAATTAAGTGTAAGAAGTTTAAATTGACTGCAATCATGGAAGACTTGGAGGATGCTAGAAGGTCAAGAGAATTGGTCAAATGGTAAATTAGGAAATCAAAAAAGCGTATGAAAAAAGGTTGGCTGAAAATATAAATAGTAAGGATTTCTTCAAATACATTAAGGGTAACAAAATGTTAGGGTGGTAGTAAGGACTTTGAGGGATGATTCAAGAAGGCTAATATCTGATGATGATGGGATAGCTGGGTTATTAAATTCTGTTTTTTTCTTCAATTTTTACAAAGGAAAATTTAAGCAATATCCCTCATCCTGAACAGTTGCTTGATGGAAACAAGATTATATGTACTAACCCTTATGAAATCACAAAGGCAAAATATTAGTTAAACTAAAAAATTTTTATAATTATCTGGAGTATAGAAGTTGTTTTTACTAATAATATTTCTATCAAGATTGAACAAGACAATCACTTAATTCTGAGCTTGTTAAGAAGTAAAATTGGGAAGTTTAAAGAGTGATAAAGTTTTTGAATATATTATAACATATGCTTTGCAAGGTCATTTAACAAAGTTTGAAATTTTGTTTGATAGTCAGCATAATTTCACTAGGGGAAATTCCTGTCTTACTAATCTTTTGACATTCTTTGAAGAGTTACTGCATCTCTGCAGGTGTGGAGAAGAGTTTGGTTATTGGATACAAAACTGGTTGAATCGGGGAAAGCAGAGAGTTATTATAAATGCAGTGGAGTCAAGCTGGATTCAAGACACAAGTGGGATACCTCGGGGCTCAGTTTCAAGACCTTTGCTCCTTTTAATTTACATCAGGGACATAGATGAAGGAATGGTCAATAAATTATTTACTTTTACTGATAGCATTAAAGTTTTGAGTTGCTGTGAGGAGGCTGCTGCTGCTTTACAAAATGAATTTGGGTTATTTGGTGAGTTGGGCAAATAAATGTGCCCCCCACCCCCCCAGTGGCACAGCTCTATGTCTAGAAACTGGGTTTTGATACTCATGGTGGATAGAGCACAGATAGCCCATTATAGCTTTGTGCTTAACTTCAAACAAACAAGTAAATGTCAGATGGCTTTTAATTATAATAAATGTAAGATAATGCATGTGGGATATGGAAATTTGAATTATGAGCATGATTTTAATGGGAATAACCTTAACAATGTTATAGAAGAAAAATGTCTTGGTGTTCTGGCTGATTAGTTTCTTAAGCCATCCAAGTAATGTGCTGTTACTAGTGGCAGGGCATATAGGGTTTTAGGTTGCAGCTACAGAAATACTGAATACAAGTCTAAAGTGAATATGATGTTATTATATAAGTAATTTGCTATATGACATTTGAAGTACTGGGTTCAATAATTGTTGGAAAAGGTTCAAAGGAGGGCTGATAGGATAATACCTGGGATGGAAAGGCTCTCATGCAAGGGTAGGTTAAGATCTTTGAAGTTGTTTCCACTTGAAAAAAAAGAAGAGTTAGAGGAGATCTGATTGAGATGTTTAAGATTTTAAAAGAAATTGATAGTGTTAATCCATCTTTTTTTTTTAAATAGTGAGTATTGTAAGACTAGAGGACAAAAATATAATTTATGGCAGTGAAGAAGTCATCTTCAGCTAAGACAGCTTTATTTTTCTAACAGGGTCGTTCCTTTGGAATGGGTTACCTTCAGAGATGGTAGATACAATTTTAAATTTAATGGAGTTTAAGGAAAGGCTTGTAGTAAGTTCTAATCCTTCTGGTGGAGGAGAAGAGACTGTTCATGATTTGCTTTTAACAAAGAGATGGTGATTAGATGTAAAGTGCAGATATCTTTCAAAAGTGCAATGGTTTTCTGTAAACATATGTAGTAAAGATCCAGTTCTATTGGTGGAGAAAAAACGGTTATAAAAGCAAGAGTAGTGAAGTGTAGATACCTGTCAGTGCAATGGTTTTCTGTAAACATGTGTAGTAAAGTTCCAGTTCTATTGGTGGAGAAAAACGGTTATAAAAGCAAGAGTAGTGAAGTGTAGATACCTGTCAGTGCAATGGTTTTCTGTAAACATGTGTAGTAAAGTTCCAGTTCTATTGGTGGGTACATAATAAGATCTTCTATACAAGCTTGTATACAAGCAGTTTATATAACACCAATTCAGTTTACTGTGTACGTTAAGAAAAATAGTATCCTTCATTTTCTAGATATTCTTCTCCACCAATAGGACTGGAACTTTATTACATATGTTCACAGAAACCATTGAACTGACAGGTATCTACACTTCACTACTCTTGCTTTTATAACTGTTTTTTCTCCACCAATAGGACTGGAACTTTACTACATACATTACTGTTTACTGAAAACCATTGCACTGACAGGTATCTACACTTCATTACTCTTGGTTTTATAAAAGTGAACCGTTTTTTCTCCACCAATGGGGTAAACATATGTAAAGTCAGCTTTTAATTAAGATAAATTAAAAATCAATCTACAAAACCAAATAATTTGAAATTTTTACTTTTAAGTATAGAATGAAATGCTTTGCTGTGTGTTTATATTAAGTTTAAAGTTAATTTTATAAACCATGGAAATGAATTAATGTTTCTATAATAATGGTACTTTCAATGTTTTGTTTTAACTGCAAATAAAGTAAAATATATCAGAATGAATGTAAATTTTAATACAGTACCTTCTAATTTTGGAAACGTGCCAGCAGCTCAAGCTTGATGTACTATAATACACTGAGTAAATAAAGTGACAAATGTACCTGTTTTTAAAATTCTAATGTGATCTTAAAATAGTGAAATTTGTCATCTCCAATTATTGAGTGTGTAAGTACTTTAATTGTTTGTTTTGTTTTTGACAGGAAAAGTGTTTTTACTTTACCCCCCACAATTTAGTGTAATAACATGAATGATTCAAATTTAGCATTATTGTATTGTATAGTTGCTTTTATGTTGAATGTAGAAATTAAATTTCTTATGGAGGATATTTATAGTAATACAATTTGTAACAATTAACAAATTTTCATACTCTCACAAAACCTTTTAATGACATTGATTTTAAGCCTATCGAAGTGTGAGTCATTTATGACATTTTTAAATATTGTTTAGATCCTGGTATTTGATATGAGTTCCCTTTTGTATTTTTTTTATTATTTTAGAGTAGTCTGTAAGAATGTAGTTTGAGTATAAATGCTTGATTCATTCATTAGTTAACATTTTACAGAATCTCTATCACAAATAGTAGTGTTTTATCTTTGTTGGAAATTTCATTCAATATATACACATACAACTTATAATTTTGGAAGTCTTGTCATCCATGAAAATGTAAATTTTGTAACTAATTTTTGAAATATAACAGGTCAAACTATCAAATATAGTCTTTTGCATCCTATTGATCTAATTGTTCCAAACTTCTGTTTTATGATAGACAATATTGTATTTCCTAGTATTATAATTCTTCAGTGTGTGTTAGAAAATCTATGTTTAATATGCTATCCATTTATCTGAAGGATCAGAAAGATGCTAACACATCAGGTGACCAAAATTCTGAAAAATCAGCTCAGAAGGATCATAGCCCAGAATCTAATGCTCACAAGGTTAGTCTTTAATTGCTGTTTAAGTTGTATTCCTACCCAGACTATTTAATCCAGGCTAAACTGTAGAGCATATGTTTTACTTAACTGTGAAGAAAACTTTATTATCCAGTGTGCTATCATTCTTAATTACATTTGACTTTTTAAATGTTTAACCTTGACATTCCTGAAATGAGCAGTGTAACATCTAATTATCTACATGCATTAATCCCAAATTTTTTAGATCTGAAAAATGAGTCGAAGTAAAAACATAGAACATGAATTACAACAACTTTATAATAACATAAGTAATATCCAGATTCATTTATATTCAGGATTTCACTACCATTATCACATTTTGCAAAGAATAGAATTTCCCTTGTTCATTTTTATTTCTTCTTCTTGCAGGCATTGTTGAGTTTTCCATGTAATTCTTGCATAATAATATTTCAATTGAACATTAAACAAATGAAACCATTTTGAATTCCTAAGCATAATTTGATATATTCAGGCTAGAATGTTCTTCCCTCACAAACCATTGTGGCAAACGTTTTCTTTGCTGATTTAACAACACAGAAAAATTACTTGCCACTACTCAGAAGTTCTTCATTTTATAAAGAGAATGGTCATTCATTCTCCCATTCAATATTTGTTGAACGATAATGGAGATAAATCTAAAGATGCATTGTTTTCTGACATTGGTAATATAAAGACACAACTTGCCCCAATTCCATAACACGTCATTTTACATTTGTTATAGTTTTAAAAATGTTTACATTTTATGAAGTTAGACAGTAACTTAAGAAATGAAGACTTCTTGGACATAAAAAAAATATCTGTAACTTTGTGATTCCCTAACTAGTAACATAATATTATGTATTAACTCATATAGCATAGACTTTAGAAATATAATTTCTTAGACACAGTTTACAATACTCTCATCTCATTTTTATCACATAGTAGAGTTTTTGCTATAATGAACTGCACCTGGCTGTTTCAAGAGAGGACAATATTACACTTGCTATTCTGAAGCTTTCTTCAGGTTGTTCTTACATAGTTTATTTATAATAATACTCTGGTGAAAAACGTTTTTCATTTAACTGGTTCATATTATATTTTGAGAAGGTTAATAATAGTGATTTTATACATTAATACTCAAAAAATGTTTCTGCTGATGCTCACCATTTGTGCATTTGGTGAAAAAAATATTTAGGTAAATAATTTTCATATAATTTTTTTTAAGGAGTTAATCTGAACCTTTCATACTTAGCAATTCACTAATGTCAGGACCACCACACAGTCACCTTTTTTTTAAATATGCAGTATTCCCCATTGATCTCATATAAATCAAATAGATTGATGATCATATAATTAAAACTTGTTTTAATTTAACTGGTAATGGTAATAATGTGTTTATTTAAAATATATGACATTTGCAATTAGAAATAATTAGCTAAGTACCCATTGAATGCATGAGAAAGACATAGATGCCCCATGAGGTGACATAGCAGGGTCAGATCCAAACTTCAACCCCACCATGGCACTTCCTTTGGTGTTATAAGGGTACATGTCAGTGTTACAGTGAATGTCTGTATGACTAGCTTCACTACTTTGCACCACCCATAAAGCCACTAAAAAGTAATGTAGGTTTCAGTAAACTTACACCTCTGAAGTCTAAACATGTAAACCATACCTATAAGTATTATAATGTAGCTTGATTTAAAGACCCAGGGTAATTTGTTAATTTTCACATTTCATGGGTTATACAATATATGATGATTAAAGAAACATTTCTATAGAAGTAACCAATGTACCTATAGGAATAGAAATCACAGACACAACTCTTTATCTGACACTGTACAAGGACGGAGTATTCAACCCCATTACCTGTATAATTAGTGAGCTGATTATTAAAGCAAAAGCTTGTACTCAGACTGGTGAAATGTACCTTGAGCAATGTATGTATGTCAGATGACTTAGAGGGTCAGAATCCTATTAGATCCTATATAATGGTTGGAAATTGGTGACCGCTTGTAGTTTGACCCATCCTTGCCTGCTTGTATATTCTGTGTGCTTTGTAAATAAATGAATATTGTTCTTACTCTTCTGAAGTTTATACTACTGTTGGGAATAATTATATGTACAAGAACACAGAGCAGAGACATGCTAAAACACCACAATTAAGAGACAGAAAGAAAATAACTCAGTTGGAAAAACTTCTTCACATTTGGTGGCAGCAATGGGATCCATAAATCATTGAACCCTAACTTCAAAGATTCTAGAGCAACAAGTTTAGAGAGGAAAATGGAGGGTTGGATGACATTAGCCCTTAAACAGTCATGTTAACCTGGAAGGTGGAAGAGTCTATTCAAAAGCTGTCTTCCAGAAGATATGAAAAAGTGTTGTTACAACTTATTTATTTTATGCATTGACTGTCACCAGACAGTCTAAGAAGTCTTCTTGTTGTATTGACTAACCACCAAAGAATCTATTTGGTTGATGTTTCTGGGCCCATAAAACTCATAATTGTGGACTTTTAAGTACACTAAAAAAGTAGGAAAAGTTAATAACTTTGTGTAGAATCAACACATAAGTATCCAACTAAGTAACTCATTAGTGTCGTAAGAGCTATTTTGAGTTATATATATTTCTTAACTTTGTAACTTACTTTAAGGGATGTAAGTTAGCAAACAATTGATCTGGTACTTATATGTATAATATTTTACAAAACTTATAGTAACACCTGAATAAGAGTGACAATTGATTGTGATGATTGATTTAATAAAAATTTTAATCACTAACATTTTTTTGCATACTGAGAGTTGTTTACACTACTGAACATGGAACTTATATTTTTAACACCATGACTTATTTGATCCATTACAATCACTAGATCAATTGGCTTCTCCAATTAGCACTTAAACTCTTAAGTTACTTCACCAGTTACTAAACAGCTGTATAACCACACAATTACAATAATGAGACAGCTAGGCTGACAACAGTAATGTACCTACATGTGAATCTGTAATTATACACAATTATATACATATGGCTGCTGGTAAAAACTTGGATAAAGGTATCTTGAATACATTAATAGATGCTGAGCAGATGAATGTTGAAAGGGAAAAACAATATCAACAGAAATGTATAATAAATGATTTTGTAACTCCAGAAGAAATATAGATGAAATGGACAAAGAGTAGGTTTATAGAACAACAGATTACTAGCAACGATGTTTGAGGTCAGAAAAAAATAAGCAACAACTAGACAATTAGAGCAACTAATTTATAACACTACCAGTGACATGAAAATGTTCATTCTGGAAAGAAAACTGATGAAACTTAATGAATCACTCCAGCACAAGATTATGTGGATAGTTACCCAAGATATACTACAGACAAGAGAATTGCCCCAAGTCCTGTCAATTGAAATATCAGAATTTAAAATATGCTGTTGAGTAAAGGTAACCTGAGGAAAAACTTGCAAGGCACTGCTGTCTTGTTATAATTGTGGATAGTTAAGCCACGGACAGACTGTGTGTATTAATAAGCCCTCCAAGCAAGGCACTGCTATCTTGTTATAATTGTGGATAGTTAAGCCACAGACAGACTGTGTGTATTAATAAGCCCTCCAAGCAAGGCACTGCTGTCTTGTTATAATTGTGGATAGTTAAGCCACAGACAGACTGTGTGGATTAATAAGCCCTCCAAACAAGGCACTGCTGTCTTGTTATAATTGTGGATAGTTAAGCCACAGACAGACTGTGTGTATTAATAAGCCCTCCAAGCAAGGCACTGCTGTCTTGTGTGGATGGTTATGTTAATGGACAATCAACTATTATGTTGCAAGATAGTGACTATAACCAGACAGTTGTAAGAACATCATTGGTATCATTACCTGATTATTTAAACTGTGCAGTAAACCTAACAGTTGCTGATGGACAGGATGTTAGAGTGCCCCTTACTGTTGTGAAGCCAGAAACTCCTTGTTCAAGTGGAGAGCATGTCATACGTGTTATGCTGAAGTTGCCCTTTGATGTCTTACTTGGATATGACTATGATAATGAAGTAAACCATACCTATAAGTACTATAAAGCTGCTTGGTTCAATGACCCAGGGTAATTTAGTTGTTAATTGAAAAAAGTTAATTCCAAGGTGATACACACACATCTGCACACAGGAAACTATCCTCCCTGTGCATCTATCTTAGAAATTTGCATGCCACTAGCCTTCAGACAGCTCCCACAGCTACTGCTTAATAATGTTACTATGCAGTAAAAACCCTCCACCAACAGTAGGGCGACACAGCCTCCCTGTATACTAGCTTCCTCTCTAATTTTGCACTCGCGATTTTCATTCTATATTTCAGTGCTGGATGCAACAGACATGTTTTTTCTTTGTCAATTTAACAAGATTTACAATGTTTAAAGAACCTCATTTCCTTCTTCTTTGTTTCTGAAAACTGTGAACACTCATTCATTTAACATCTTCTACTACTTGTTTGAGCATCTAATTTCCTCACACAGGTTGTGTAACAGTTATGGCTTATGGATGTACGTTCCCTGGGATGATATGGTGGCCATTGGGAATAGGGTAGTGGGTTTCCTTATACTGCCAGGAAATTCAGGTCCATTTCTTTCTTCAGGTGTTCATTCCCATCATTTGTGGGGTGATTGAGGAGAATAAATTTGATGGTCCTTTAACTGCTTAGGCTTTGGGAACTTCTTTCTCTGTGGAAGATAAACTTTCTTTCATTCTTTGTCCTTGATTTATTAGGTATGCATCATTATTTAAATTATATTTCACCAGTATTATTAGCATAAGTTTTCCTCCAATACCGGGGGTAACCCACTACTTCTATCTTTAACTGATCCCTTTTAACACACTACGTTACCTCTCCTCTCTACAACTTCCTGTCTTAGGTTCCATTGAAATTCATGGGCAATTCTCATTCCTTTCACTCCTCCACTGTGGCCATTCCACTTCTATCATTACTCACATGACTCCTATCTCCTGTTTGACTTC